CATAAGTTAATGAACAGACTATTGTAGGATTTTATTTTTTAATAATTTAGGCATTTGTATTGTTGTTTCTCCAGTGGGAGGTTTAAAGTTACTTGGCAGACATGGCTTGATAATTTAGAAAACAGTAGAAAATACGAGTTAGGCTAGAGTAGATGATTATTAAGTCTATTAATATATCACATTTGCCTGAAGTGGTAATATATTATTGGATTGAGTTAGTTATTTCAGTGCTGTGATTATTGAGTTTGTGTTTTCATGAAGCATTAACAGATATGAAATACATTTTGTAGAGCAAGAGAATTAGCATTTACTTTGAACTTAGGCATATCAATAAAAATTAGTAAAACTAACTTGTAGAACTTCATTGTTATTAAGTAGACTGGGTTTTGCCCAGTAGCAAATAATTATAAAGAACTGACCAAACATTCGAAATAATTACAACGCTAATCTAAAGAGTGGGATTATATTGGTAAAAATCAAACAAGATTAATATGACATTCAAGATGAAGAAGTTTTCAAAGCAAGTTTGAAAATATAATGAGAATGGTCAAGTAGTGGAAAAAAGAGACAGAAAATTAGAAGAAAGATGAAAAAAAGACAAAGAGATATGAAGTTAAAAGAAAACCAAGAAGAAAGAAAGAAATTTAAGAGACATGAATTAGAAAAATGTGGCATGAGATTTCCAGAAGAATTTTGAACAGAATTTAATTTCGTCGAATTTAAGTAGATATTTGGAAGGACCCTATGCAGTAGTCAAAAGAATCAATGATGTGTTGTTTAGAATCCAGAGGGACAGGCAATCCAAGCCAAGGTCATTCATGGCGATCATCTTTGGAAGTATGTCAGTGAATGAATGGCCAACTAGTTATCTTCACATAAGACTTTGTTAGTGGTATGTCCACCTGCTGAAGAGCCAAAGATCCTGTTAATACAGCTTCAGAAAACAATTTGCTAGTGGGAAGTCAACCTGTTGAAGAGCTCAAAGTTTCTACTGAGACCATTTAGAAAGTGTTACCAAGGATGAAGCTATCAGAAGATTCCTTAGGTCATATATCTGGTGAGAATCCCCCCCCCCCTCAAGTGACAAGACAGCAGGTGATGATAAAAGACAATAGGTCATCCCTTCTTCCTACCATAAGCCATGGAAAATAGAGGCACCAAACAGCTTAGAAACAATAAATAAGATATTGGAGAAGAAAATATAAATTCGTTATAAAGAACTTTCATTGTACTTTGCCCCACAGTGGCACAGCGGTATATCTGCGAACTTACAACGCTATAATCCGGGTTTCGATACCCGCGGTAGGCAGAGCACAGATAGCCCATTGTATAACTTTGTGCTTAATTACAAACAAATAAATAGAATAAATCATTGTACTTTGTTTAACACAATTAATTAATGATTTGTTCATAGTAATGTCTATATATGAACATAATATTTGGTTAATTATGAAGAGTGACTTTATTTCTAATTATGTAAGTTTAGGTTTAATATATTATTACTTTATTTACGTATCAAAATTGTTTAAAGTACTTCATAATCCAAAGATGGGACATTTTTGTAGGCTATGTTTAAATATTTTAATTTAGACATTTTAAAGTGTATGCTAGATAAAATTTTGGCATGATGTAGTGACATAAGGGACATATTGAAATTTCCGAGTGCTTTAATTTGGCGTGACATTTCGAATCCACGAATAACTAACAAAACAAAACAATATCCAATATTTATTATGTAATCAATAAGCCTTTTAAAAATGTGCATGTTTTAAACACAGACTATAACTGTAAAATGTATTTATTAAATGTTTTAATGCCATTTTCATGTGTAAACA